CGCATGGCGCATGGCGCATGCGCAGCGCACAAGTGCACCGGAAGTATGTTCTCGATCGTTGTGCGAAAATGCCAAGCCGTGTCATAACCGGGAGGAACCTCAAGAACACGGCACATATTTAACCGACACTGGATTCCTTGGGCTATTTAGCCTCTTGAATTTCTTCCAAGTGAAGTGGTAATACCCAACGGAATGCATGGGTGACATTCATTTGGCCTGCCGTTGGAAATGTGTTAGTATGTGCAAGCCATGTGTGCATGCATCTTTTTGTGTGTATGCACAAGTTGTGTCATATATCACTGTGCCCGTTTTTTGCTTTTATTCTTTGTTCCGCAAAGTGCGCTCTTTTAGTTTGTAGTGATGTGACAATATACGTGCAAGCCAGTGTGGACATTCCTTTTCTTCGTTTTCGTCATCCTTTCCACGTGTTCATGTCCTTTATCAGTAAAAAAGAGGAACAGAATCCATGTCAACTGGAGAGCTCTCCACCTCATGCATGGGCTCCGTGTGTGTGTGTGTGTGTGTGTGCACGCATGTGTGCGTGCATGTGTGTGTGTGTGTGTGTGTGTGTGTGTGTGTGTGTGTGTGTGTGTGTGTGAGGAATCTGTAGGCTGATGCGGCATGCATGGAGTCTCTGCTAGATGGTATAGGTCAGGGGTTCAAGTCCCTGGCTGAGCACGAGCTGTCAGAACTGCATGCCCTGTATGGGCGGGCAATGCAGTTAGAGATAGAGTTCTTCTCTGCTCAGCCAATCCATCCACCACTGGATTTCATTCCACTCTTTTCAGCTCGACGGCCGACAGTTGTTGATGGCCGACGTGTATTGTTTGCGTGCGACTTCGATCTGACTTGTACGGCGTCAGAGTCTACACAAGCACTTGCAGAGGCGGCCATCTGTGCAGATAGGGACCGTGTGTCTCAGAGGCATTTAGTGGTTAATGAGAAGGTGGGGCCAGCAACTGAGGAGAACACATTATGCGATGATGATCCATGCGATCTCATGCCATCAGACGGCCGCGAGGAGGAGGTCGAACGCACGAGCGGGGTATCCGACAAGCGAGCGCAGTGGGAGAGATTATGTGTAGAATACATGGACGGATACTGGACCACAATGAATGAGATGCTCTCGAAAGACGCAGGTGAACGTCCACCTCTCATCCACCTCTTCTCCACCTCTTATGCATCTGTTTGATTCTGTATATAACATGTGGGATTTGCAGCTCCAGTTACTTCAACTTAAATGTTTTGAAATTTGAAGTTTTGTTTTCTGTTTATATAAGAGGGTAACCCCTCGCATCGAACTGATATGATTCCGTCAGAGGACTCGAACTGGGTGATCTGTTTACTGACAGTAACATGTGTGTGCCATTCAGCCAGATGGGGCTGGCTGTTGATGTTTTCACATTCAGTTGATTGAATTCCGTCGGGATTCGAATTCGTGAGCTGTTCACTAAAAGTAACAAGTGTGTGCCATTCAGTACAATGGGCTGGCTGTCGATGTTTTCACAGTTTTTTTTTTCCCCCTCAACTCTTAAAAAAGGGTTCAGGGTGTAGTAGAGGGTGGTGCCCAGGCCTCAGGAGGTGCCCGTAGTGCTCGTCCATTGGGAGTTCAGATGGATTGCGAGGACCCCGGGCCTAGGGGAAGTCACCTCAGGATGGTACCATGGTACCATGGTACCATGACCTGTGCTAATGCTCAGATTGCAGGTCGTGATCTGCACCAACGCTTACCAGACTAACCCGGACGTCTTCGTGCAGACGCTACCATTGAATTGATCTAATTCGGTCGGGATTCAAACTCATGACCTGTTTACTAACCGTAACAAGTGCGTTTTGCATTCAGTGAGATGGGATGGCTGTTGATGTTTTCACATTGAATTGATCTAATTCGGTTGGGACTCGAACTCGTGAATTGATCTAATTCGGTCGGGATTCGAACTCGTGACCTGTTTACTAACAGTAACAAGTGTTTTTTGCATTCAGTGAGATGGGCCGGCCGTTGATGTTTTCACGTTGAATTGATCTAATTCAGTTGGGACTCGAACTCGTGACCTATTTACTAACAATAACAATTGTGTTTTGCATTCAGTGAGATGGCCAGACGCTACCATTGAATTGATCTAATTCGGTCGGGATTCGAATTCATGACCTGTTCACGAACAGTAACAAGTGTGTGGCATTCAGTGAGCTGGGCTGGCCGTTGATGTTTTCACATTGAATTGATCTAATTCGGTTGGGACTCGAAGTCGTGACCTGTTTACTAACAATAACAAGTGTGTTTTGCATTCAGTGATGTGCGCTGGGCGTTTATGTTTTGAAGCTCGCACACAGGGAAAAAGGAACGAGAAAAGAGCTGGTAGGGTGAAGTTGGTGAACCCAGATCATACCTGTCTGTGGCGATATGGTACATCCCCGGCTGTTGATCAGACAGGTCAAGCATTCAAATTGAGACGGGTCACGGATGCAATAATTTTACGGGCTATCCGCTAAAAAAAAAGGCGGGGGGGGGAAGGGGGGGGAGGGGGTTGGACCCAGATCCTCTGTGTAAGCCACATACTGATCAGATGTGAAAGCAGATATTCTTTTTTTTTCTTTTTTTTGGACCGTTTCTCGATTTATGCGTGTCATCCTTGCGCAGGGGCCATGCTAATCTTCTTTCTCTGTATCATTCCAATTCTAATTCTAACGGATGTCCCGAAGGACAAGAAAGCAGATATTTGTAGTTGATTGTGAACTGCAAATAGTGCATTGTTAGAGTGCAAACGCAGTTAAAGGAAAAAGAGAAAAAAAATAAAAAAAGGTATGAAATCTGCCGGGACATCCATTAAAATTGGGGGACGATACAGAGAAAGAGAAGATTAGCATGGCCCCTGCGCAAGGATGACACGTAGAAATCGAGAAATGGTCGCAAAAAAGAAAAGAAGAAAAAAAAGGCATGGTAGCAAGGCTTATGAAAGGTCTCTGGGACTCCAATTCGGAGTACCGTTGAGTTTTTTTTTGTTTTTTTTTTTTGGGACGCAGGGGTGTTTAGCCACGAATGTTATTGCATCCGTCTGATTCCGTCAGGATTTGAACTCACGTTGTGGTGCTTATCAGCAGCTACATGGGTGTACCATTCATCCACAGGGCTGGGTGCATCAGTGCTTCTGTGTCTGCCACAAGTTAGCATGAGCCCAACCGGTTTTGTGGTAGGATTCTGACAGCCTTACTGAGGATGAACATAGCGCCGGCACGTCCTGGGATTTAGTGTTTGGCCCTTTAGAGCCCGCTGGGGCCTATGCCGAAACTAAGTTTAGGTCAGAACGGAACCTGTTTTGGGGCCAGATTACGGCCAAGTACATAGATGGATATAGTCAGGCCAGGCAGGTGTTTAAGAAAATGTATGTCTCCCCTTAGACCTGATCACCTTTGCTGGCGTTATTGTTGTCGTCTTTGTATTCGCCGAAATACAGGATCTTGTGTGAAAAGGACATTGCAGGACGTGTTTAAGGGAGTGGGTGAATATGAAATCCTTGCAAATCAGAAGGTAGCGGATTCCGGGTTTCTCCAAGGCATGCGAAAAGAAGATGTGGCGGCGAGGGGTCGTTCAAACTGCCTCTTCCCAGGTTGTGCCCGGGTTTTCTCAGACATAATCTGCAATAAGGGCATCGATATTCACATCGTATCGGTCACGTGGAGTCTTCACTTCATCAAGTCCACCCTTGGATCTGTTCTGCCCCATGGTACATCTTTCCGTCTGACACACCATATCCCATTAACTCTCATTCATGCTCTCTCTCTCTCTCTCTCTCTCTCTCTCTCTCTCTCTCTCTCTCTCTCTCTCTCTCTCTCTCTCTCTCTCTTCCCCCCCCTGCCCCCTGTGAGTGTGTGTGGGTTCATGTGTCTGTGGGTGCACTAAGAAAAGTAAATTTTATGAGGCTTCATTACTTATTTTTGTAATTGAAGGTGATAGTACTCCTCGTATTGCTGTTTTACTGTTTTAAATTTACATTAATATGTCTCAGATAATCCGACGGGCATAAACTCCTCTGTTTTAAATTTACATTAATATGTCTCAGATGACTTTTACTGTTTGAAATTTGTCACTGTTTTTGCGGCGTGCCATCCCACAACCAATTTGGATGGTAAGCTCTCTGAGCAGCTGCTCGGTGGATGAATGGTACATGCATGCGACTCCCAGCAAACAGATCAAGAGTTCAAATCATGTTGGTTACGACAATGCTACGGGTATGTTTATTTGTTCGCTCACTTTTCTCGAAGGAAACAGAGCTGTGTGATCGACATCAATCACAGTGTGACTGCTGGATGTGTCTATAGATGCAGCAGCCAACTTGAGCGTACCATAATGTGGCTTGTGTTTAAAAAAAAAAAAAAAAAACATCAGTCCCCTTTTCCCC